GTTTGGTCCTTTATTATGGTGTCTGTATGTTTATTAAACTTTCATTTTGTTCATGTATTGTCTTTCTGACTTCACTTACTTGTCTATCTGTATTTTTTTTTGTAGCTGACTAAGCTTCTTTAAAATGAGTATTTTCAGTTCTTTGTCAGGCTGTTGTAAATCTCCATTTGTTAAGGGTGGACTACTTGTGTTTTATTTTGTTTCTTTGGTGCTATCATGTTTCCCTGATTGCTCATGAGCCTGTGGCAATGTGCTGGAATGTGCGCTTTGAAGAAGCAGGGACTTATTCCAATATTTACAGACTGGCTTTGTCAGGGAACACCCTTCACCAGTCAGCCTGTACACAGATTTTGGTCAGGCCATGTGGTGTGGTTCAAAGGTGGTCTTGTTGCTGGTGTCCTCAGGCAAGCCAGTTTGGTATCCAGGCATGTGTGGGTAGGCCGAGAGCCTATATCCAGAAAGGTGACCTGAAGCCTCAGTCCATGGGTCCTAAACTGGCACTGGCATGGGTCTTGAGTTTGGGTCTGCAGATGTCAGCCAGGTGATGGCATGGGCCTCATCCCTAGGTCCACAGGGAAGGGCCTGGATCCTGAGTTCATGGGGACTTACCTGGCACTGGGGCAGACCTGGAAGCTGAGTCTGTGGGGGTAGGCCAGGATTCTGGGTCTGTAGTCTAGCCTTGAGGACCCCATTGAAGACTGACCTCTCATCCTTATCATATTCTTGTCTCTATGTGCTTCTAGATTTCTGTTTCCTGCACTTTCTGGCTCTTTTTCCACAGGGATACATTGGATGATTTCTGTCAGTCAGGCACCATGCTAACGGGGGTTAAGAGGCCCTGCCCTCATGGAGCTTTCTTTCTGGGATGGTATCAAGACATACAAATAGGCTGGGTGCAGTGGCTCACACCTGTAATCCCAGCACTTTGGGAGGCCAAGGCAGGCAGATCACGAGGTCAGGAGATCAAGACTATCCTGGCCAATGTGGTGAAACCCTGTCTCTACTAAAAATATAAAAATTAGCTGTGCATGGTGGTGCGTGCCTGTAATCCCAGCTACTCGGGAGGCTGAAGCAGGAAAATCACTTGAACTAGGGAGTTGGAGGTTGCAGTGAGCCGAGATGGTGCCACTGCACTCCAGCTGGGTGACAGAGCAAGACTCTGTCTAAAAAAAAAAGAAAAGAAAAGAAAATACACACGAATACACTTAACAGTCAGGATGTCCTGATGGGAACCATGAAGAATAGTTAAGTGATAGGTGAAACAGACAAGGTTGGTGGGGCCTCTCAGGGATGGTGATTTGGGCTGATATTTCAAGTTGGACAGGGCCAGTCTTGCAGAGAGCCAGGAAGAGTGCTCTTGAGAAGGCCCTGCAGGAATGAGAGCCCCAGGTTTTAGGGGCTTGGGGAGACTAACAGGGAGAAGACAGGGAGCCACTGTGGTGAGTGGACAGCAAACAGGTCAGGTGGACCAGCATGGGCAGATCACATGTACAGGAGGTTGGATGTTATTTTGTGAGTGAGGGTGTAAAAATAAAATATATCAGTGATATGTATTGATTACATGTTGAAATGTAGTATTTTAGATATTTTAAGTTAAAATTATATTGTTAAAATTAATTTGGCCTCATCCTTTTTACGATTTTAATACGGCTGTCATAGAATTTGAATGTTGCGTGTGGTTTGTATTATATTTCTGTCAGCAGTGCCCATCAAAGGTATGTAATAGATGCTGAATTCATGACAAGACCAAGCCTGGAAGAGTGGATTTCTCTGTCTGAGAAAAGAGAAGTTTTTCAGCCACTGTCAACCTCTGGGAATTCTGTGGCAACTCATTCATTGGCTTTTCTCTCCCTTCCCAGGATCTCATAGATCAGAACATACTGGAGACTGTAACCCGTGCACAGAGGGTGTGGATTACACCAACGCTTCCAATAATTTGTTTTCTTGCCTCCCATGTACAGTTTGTAAATCAGGTACAGACTGTGTGCACCTCCTGTCCAGAGGTGGAGTGTGGGACAATGAGGTGGGAGTTGTAGCCGATGTGAGTAAGGGAACCAAGTTCCAGCCCAACTTGGTCTTCATCACCCTGTTTCATGATTATATATTTGACTGATTAAAAAAATAGAAATATTTTCTGTAATGCATGCCACCTGGCTGGGAAATCTTCTAAACTATCAGCTGCAAGAGGGTAGGGGGATCATTAAAGCACAGAGAAGGCCTGGTCCAGTGGACAGGGTTGGGTTTCAGCAGTGGGACGGGTCTGCTCCAGGGTCAGGCTCTCTCCCCCAGGCTCTGTGCTTCTGGCAGGTGCTGGGCCTCACTCAGCCTTCAGGTTCTCAGGCCCCTTCCTCCTCCCCAGCAGGCCCAGGCTTTAGGGAAGTTCCCTAAGGGCTCCTCTCCTTGCAGAGTCTCTCAGGTGATGCCCTTGCACCTCCTTTGCTATTGACCATGCCATCTAAACAATGCTTTTCCCCTAATCTGATGTAATAAATCATGAATCATGCTCCCTTTTATGACTCCTCTGAGTATTGGTGACAGCTGAAGGGTGGGTGTCCTGTATGAGCCCTGGGTGTGCAGGTGCAGAAACTGGCCCTCAGAACTCCTCGGTGAACTTGGCTGAGCTGAGTAGAAGGGGGTGGGTGATAAGGAAGGTTGAAACACATTCCCAAAACCTTATGCTCTGTTGTCAGGTCAAACAAATACAAGTTCCTGCACCATGACCGGAGACCCAGTGTGTCAGTGTGAGGAAGGCACCTTCTGGGATAGGAACTCCCCTGAGATGTGCCTGGAGTACAGCATAGGGTGAGACAGCAGCCACGGGCTTCCGGCAGCTTTCAGGAACCCAAGAAGACCTGAGTCACCTGGTACCCCTATTTCTCCACTGACCCCATGGAGCCTCCAGACCCATGGGGTGTCCCTGAGCCTGTGGGGTCTCTTGGGTCTGCAGTGGCCCCTCCTGGTCCATCTGCCTGTCCCCACCCCTGCCCCCTGCAGCAGCCCCTTCCCACCCCTCCCCAGCATGAGTCCCCTTGGCCAGACCGACTTGTTCACTGGGCACAAGAGGCAACTTTCTAGATCCCTTGACCCTTTTCATCAAACCTAGGAAATGCAATTTCCTTTTGAAATGAGAAGAAAGCTAGGCGCGGTGGCTCACATCTGTAATCCCAGCACTTTGGGAGGCAGAGGAGAGTGGATCACTTGAGGTCAGGAGATCGAGACCAGCCTGGCCAACATGGTGAATCCCCGTCTCTACTAAAAATACAAAAATTAGCCGGGCTGGTGGTGGTCACCTGTAGTCCCAGCTACTGGGGAGGCTGAGGCAAGAGAATTGCTTTAACCCAGGAAGTGGAGCTTACAGTGAGCCGAGATCGCGCCACTGCACTCCAGCCTGGGTGACAGAGCGAGACTCCGTCTCAAAACAAACAAACAAAAAAAGAAATGAGAAGAAAACACTTGAATCCAGTCTGGGTTGTATTTGTTGCTATACCAAACTGTTTTTTAAAATGTTATTTTTAATACTTTTTATGCAGGCAGGACCCATAAAGACAAAAGTGGCCACGACCGACAAAAGTCATAAGAAAGCTGTGGGTGGAGCTCCTTCAAGTTCCCATGAAGGCCTGAGCCAATCCAGCCGGCCTCACCCCTGGCCCCAATCCCTTAATAAGTCCTGTCTTTTCCCTATTTGGGCTTTAAGGGGCAAGAGTAATTTGTCCTTCTCTGGCCCTCTAATGTTTGCTGTGATTGGGAGGAACCAGCAGACAAGTGGGGGTGAGAGCTCACTTGTACTGTGGGTTGACTGGAGGACAGGGCTCAGCTTGTGGCCACAAGGACTTGTGACTTTCTCCTGGCGTGTGGCTCCTCCTAATGCAGGCCTCCTCTGCAGCCCAGGGAAGCTCAGCGTGTGTCCAACACAGAAGGCTCCTGTGACCCCAGAGCAGGGAGGCTGAGGGGCTGAAATGCGCATGCTCAGACTCTTCCCCAGCCTCAACAAGGGAGCTTGGGGGACCCCCTTCAGACACAAGGAGGCTATCCTTCCCATGACGCCTTCTCAGGGACATTGGAGAGGGAGGGTGGCTCCCCTTTCATCCCACCTGGCCAGCTTTCCCTCAAGAGTCCTCACCTCCCTCTCTGTGTGTACCCAGGTGCCCTAGTGCGGAAGTCCAGGTCAGTGATTGTACGTCCTGGAGTGATAGCCAGTGTGTTGAAGAATTTGGCACCATTGCCACTGTGGAAACCTCAGCTGCTGAAGAGACAACGACCGCCGGGACTCCTGCCTCTGCTAGTTACCTCTTATGCACCATCGTAGGGATTGTAGTTCTAATTGTGTTTCTGATTGTGTAAGTTTGCACTTTGGAAGAAATTCCTTCCTTACCTGAAGGAAGGTGGTGACTGAGGGCAGGGGCGCTGGACATTCTCTGCCCTGCCTCCTTCTGCTCTGTTCCCACAGACAGAAATGCTCACCCCTGCCCCAAGTCCTGGTGTCTCCAGCCTGGCTCTATTTCCCTCCTTGTGATCGCCCCATCCCCACATCCGGTGCACCCCCCTGGACCCTGGTCTCATCAGTTCCTATCCTGGAGCTGGGGGTCCCCACATCTCCCAGCCAAGTCTGGGAGATGGCAGGGCCAGTTCTTCCCATCTTCAGGCCCAGCCAGGCGTGGGGCAGTCAGCTCCTCAACTGGGTGACAAGGGTGAGAATGAGAAGTGGTCACGGGATTTATTCAGCCTTGGTCAGAGCACAACACAGAGATTTTCCACGTGTTGGTTTTACTCTAGTTCCCCTTCTCATCCCCCTTCCTCAGGGTGTCTCTGAATTGGAAGGCCCCCCTCTTGTCCCCAGCCCCAGGGCTCCTTGTCCAGTGTCCCTGCCCCCAGCCCACCCCTGCGCCCCACTGTCCTCTGGGAGAGAGGTGCTGCATGGGCCCCTCCCCGCCTGCTAAGGAGACTCCTCCTTTTCCAGGTGGTTGAAGAGGCCCTGAACGTGTGGACAGAATGACTTGGTTTCTCCAGAAACTGGAAGCCTCATGGGATGAGGAACTGCCTCCCACCCACAGCAGAACCCGGTGGACATAATCCTTTCTCCTCATGGCTGCCCTGACTCTCTGAAGTGGCTTGGGACTCTGGGCTGACTGTGGGGGACACATGGCCATCTTGAGCATCACACAAACTGGCGGGCCCTGCTGCAGCCCTGTCCTTCCTGCAGTCCTGGTGACAACCTCACTCCACCGCCTGCACCCTGAGGATGGGATGTCCGCCTGAGCACAGCATCAGGGGCCTGGCCCCAGCAGCAGGTCCTGGATGTGCTGAGACTGGGCTGCCTGGGGTGACCTCATTGGGAGGAGGTGGGGATGGCAGGTCCAGCTGCATACTGGGGACCCTGCAGCAAGCCCTGGATGTGGACTCCTGAGTCAGTTCTTTGCCTTCCTGAGGCCTTTTTCTGGCACTCACGTCCCCCACCAAGGCCTGGGGTGAGAACAATGCCCACAAGGAGAGCCTGAGTAACAGAGACTCGCAGCCCATCCAAGTCTCTGAGCAGGAAATTGAAGGAATCATGACATTTTACAGAGGAGGAGATTGCAGCTCAGAGTGGGGGAAGCGTGTGCACCAGGCCACAGGCAAGTCTGTCCAGAGCACTAGTAGGAATGAGGGACACTAGGAATGACCACTTTAAGAAGTTGGATGAGAAGAATTTCAAAGTTAAGTCATTGGAGTTTGTTGGTAATATATTTGTGTGGCTTAGGTCATGTTAAGTGCATCACACGCTCACCCCCATGTCTGCTGTTGGTCTCAGCACTGGGTGGAGGGAGCGGGGAACAGTCCTGGTGAAGAGGAGAGGGGAGCAGCACCGGCTGGGGTGGGTCCTCTGCCGCTACCTTCTCCTGCTGTGGTTTCTCAGGGCTTAGGCGGCCCCTCACACCTGGCTTGTCTGTGGGGAGAAGATCTTTGTTCTCTGGCTGCTTTTAAGACTTTCTCCTTAACAGTGGTTTCGGCAATTCGATTGTGGTAAAAAGGAGCTGCAGAAGCCATGGCTCCAGCATTTTCGGCCTCCCCTTCTGTATAATAGCAGCCATGTTTCGGCCTCTGCAGGGCTAAGGTCCTCCGAGCAGCTGCTTCTCCACATCTCTGCCCTGCACTTGGCCTCTGGGAGCTCCTGGTGTTCCTTAGCAGAGTCCACAGGGCTCTTTGGGGTCCTGTCCCTGTGCTGGAGCCTGGAGCCTGTGACCTGAGGCGGTGAGCTGAGGCCACCACTGGGCTCACCTCATGGGCTTGGAGGAAAAGTCATTCACCCAGGAAGTAGATGATGAGCCCTTTACTCTGAGAATGTCTGCGCCTGGTGCCGGCGGGAGGACAAATGAGTCCTGCCTGTGTCAATCCTGCTCCCTGGAGCCCACAGTCTGGTGCAGGAGGTGTCACCAGGGACCTAAATAGCGGTCAGGAAGCATGGGGGCCACCTCCCCCACCCCCCACCTCCAGAGAGGCTGTGCCGGCTCCAGGGACGCCATCCCTCCCTACTTGGCTTTGGCAGAGGGAGGCTGTGCGGTTGCAAGGCCCCAGCTCATGGTACTGTTGGCGTGGAGGATGTGGTTTCATTAAAATCAACATTGAGAGTAACGATTGTACTAACAACAGCATGTGCTGTGCGAAGCTCTGTTCTCAGCACTTTATACACATATGAACACACTTAATCCTCATACAACCAGACTGTACAGGAACCCTCATTGTCCTTGTTTTAGACGAGCAGCATGAGACGCAGAACATTCGTTCAGTGGAGGGACTGGACAGGAGGATGAGTGACCCTCGGGGACAGCAGCAGTGATTGGGTCACTGGGTTCTGCTGATCTTTCCCAGGGGAGTATTCGGTGCTTGTTCATGAGGCCTGCATTCGCCTAGCGCTGGGTCACAGCTGGGGATCCCTGAGAAGTCATTTAAGGTCACCTCTTATTTCAGGAATGAGACATATTTAGGTAAGAAATGGCTTACCCTGGACCATGAGGCTGGCCCAAGACTACAAGACAGATGGCTTGCTTCTTAATCCAGGGTTCTTTTTATACCAAAAGAACAAAGAAAGAAAAAAGCCACCAAAGACTCAAAAGAAGCAGATTTCCCACCACAGCACAACAAACTTGCCTCTAAAACAGCCTAACACAACACCCGTCCAGGAGGAACAAGGCAAGGAAACCCCCTGGTGAATGACTCATCTCAGGAAGAGGCAGGGTCAGGAGAGTCTATGGAGAAGACCTGGAACAAGACCTCTCTGTCCTGCTCTCTTACACACACACACACACACACACACACACACACACACACACCCTCACACCCCCATGAGCCCAAATCTGCGAACTGAGAACCTCACTTCTCTGACCTCACCTTTCGTCTCTCTGAATCAGAGACACCCACAAACCTCAGAGCTGCGTCCCAGCATCGCTTGTTTTGACTCCCCTCCTCTACTGCCTTGACTTCCTTTCTGCCTGGGAACCTATCTGTGTGGACTTTTCCCTCTATGTCTACCAGTGTCCTGCCACCAATGGCATTTGTCACCTCTGCCAGGGTAGCCCCTCATGACTCGGGTTATTGATGGCTTAATAACCCGAGTTATTGTGAACTGGAACTGGAACTGGAACTCCCTGTGAACTGGAACTGTCCTAAGGAAAGGGAGGGTCGTGCCTTGTTCCTGATGCTCCACGATTCCTTGCACAGTGTGGTCACCAGGTGCTGATGTGCCCTCCTTGGATGAATGAGTAATGTGGGTTCTAGGAAGCCTGCATTAACGCGGATGTGACGTCCTCAGCCTTTCATAGACTATGTTTCATGTGAGAGGTGGGAAGAACAGCTGAACAGAAGGCTGGGGACTGCCCAGGTCCAGAGGCACCAAGAGCTTGTTATCAGGTTTTCACTTGCTATTTGCAGAGATTTTTTTTAAAGGCGCTATTGGTAGTGTTAAAAGGGTGAATTCATCAGAAGGCATAATAATCATAAATGTGTATATGCCTAATGATAGAACTTTAAAATGCATGAAGCAACACTCAAAAGGATTAAAGGGAGATCATATCACCCCCTTCTTACCAATCGATAGAATGATCTGATGAAAACAGTAAAATAACAGATCTGAACACTGTCAACCATCTTGACAAATGTTTATGCCTAATGTTCCATTATTAGAATGCTAAACATGTGGAATTATTTATATCCTACTGCTCAAGGTCATCGCCAAGGTCTAATTGTAAAATTTCAAAAAATTGCAACCTCAGGCATTAACGGGTTAATTGACATTTATAGCGCATACATGCAACCTGTACCGCAGATTCCTTCTTTTCTATGAACATGGTACTTCCACCAAGATAGGCCACATTGTGAACTATAAAACAAATCTAAAAACATTTGAAATGAAGGAAATTATATAAAATATATTCTCTGATCTCAGTGAAATTAATAACTATATCTAGAAAGAATCCCAATATGTGAATATTAAGCAACTTACTTATAAATAACTCATAGTTCATGGATGAAATCAAAAGAGAATTCAAAATATTTCAAAATAAATGATGATGATTATATAACATGTGGAAATGTGTGGGACGCCACTACACCAGTGTTTAGAGTGAAATGCACAGCTTTCAAGGCTTCTGTTAAGAGTTGGGAATTTGGGGAAACAAGGAGTGACTGCTAATGGGTATGGAGTCTTTTTGGGGTGATGATGAAAATGTTCAAAAATTGATTTTATTGGTGGTTATACATGTCTATAAATATATTCAAATGGAAGAATTCTATGATTATATATGTGATATATAAAGTATATCTTAGTGAAGTTGTTAAGGATTAAAAGAAGAATGGTATCAAAATCAGTGACTCAGAGGTCTGCATTACTCACCCGTAAAATAAGTGTAAATTAAACTCGGAGGCAGTAGCAGGGAGGGAAAGAAATAATAGAGTAGAAATTAATGAAATAGAATACAAAGAATAAAAGGAATCAACAAGCCAAGAGTTGGGTCTCAGAAGTGATTAACACAATTAATAAAATTAATAAACCAAACCTCAAAAGAAAAAGAACAATGGCCTGAAACACCAACATCAAGAATTAATGATGGGATATTATTACAAACTCTACAGCTATTAAAAGGATAATAGTGGGATCTCATGAATAACCTTATGTGAAAAAAATTCTACAACTTAGATGAAATAGAGAAATTTCTTGAAAAACCTTACTTAGCAAAATAGTCACAAGAGGTATAGATCACTTAAATATTTCTACAGCTGTGTAAGAATTGGAATTTATTGGCTGGGCGCGGTGGCTCAAGCCTGTAATCCCAGCACTTTGGGAGGCCGAGACAGGCGGATCATGAGGTCAGGAGATAGAGACCATCCTGGCTAACATGGTGAAACCCCGTCTCTACTAAAAAATAAAAAAAAAAAAAACCTAGCCGGGCGAGGTGGCGGGCACCTGTAGTCCCAGCTGCTCGGGAGGCTGAGGCAGGAGAATGGCATAAAATGTAAAACCCAGGAAGCGGAGCTTGCAGTGAGCTGAGATCCGACCACTGCACTCCAGCCTGGGTGACAGAGCGAGACTCTTGTCTCAAAAAAAAAAAAAAAAAAAAAGCTATCGCTAACATCAGTGAAAATAGTAAAATATTGAATCCATTCTTTCCATGATTGGGACCAATTCCAAGCATGTTTCTGCGATCACATCTACTCAACATTGAACTCAGAGTCCTAGCCAGTGCAGTATGGTGGGGGAGGAAGGATAATTGAAA